CACACACACACACACACACACACACACACACACACACACACACACACTCTGTCTCTCTCACTCTCATGAGACTATACTATGGTGTTCCAGTCCAGTTGAAGCAGGTCATTCCTCATGACTGGAATACATAGTCCCAATTACAACATGCAAACATACACACACACATTTTTCACTTGTTAATGAAGTAAAGTGCTCATTTAATGTTTATGAACTGAGCACTAATCTCTTTTTCCGATGGAGGAGAAGACAAAACCTCTTCCAGAACGCCCAGTTACACATTTCTCATGTATACCAGCCTCTAACCAACCAGGACAACACTAATCATTTTCCCAGGAGTACGCTGGTTTCCACTGCTCCTACCTCCCAGTGTCCTCATGTAACTCTCCGGATAGAGACAGAGCACAGTCATTCGTATTTTAAAACCCACATTGTTTCATTCCTGCTATCAATATATTATTACTTTATAAGCTGCAACAACGATTTAAGTTTTCCAGTATATCACACACTGTGGAGTGCAATACAAATACCACCACCCCAACCATCATCTCAGGCAGTGCAAATTGCCTCACTTGGGGACTACAAAGGTCGGCAGGTATGCACAAACAATTTACTTCAGAGGTATCAATGTGATGCTGATTTTTGTGGAAATTATAGAAAATGACTAAAAGAATAAGGCTGGAAATGTTCTAGATTTTTCTTATTTCCAACAAATCCTATTAAGAGACCAAAATGAAAATGAATTTAGCCTATTGATATGGCATCATGTTCCCTGCTACAGACATTTATTTTTGTCTTACAACTATTAAAAACACATTATTGTTGCACTGGGTGATATTCATTACCATGAACATGGGCGCTTTAGTTTATTATAAGTCAGTGCCAAATAACATCTTTCTGCCGGCATAAATATTCCCCAGGGCACCAATTGGTTGTTAATGCACACATTTTTTAATTTTTTTTATTAATTTCTGTCTGGGTATATTGTGTATATTGATGAGGACATTTGCTAAAAACTTTTTCAGCCTTACCCTTTAAAAATATAGACCAAGGTCCTCAGTGTGTACTAAAGAATGAAAGCTTGATTCAATACAAATAATCAAAGCTAATCATTGATCCTTATGAGGACAGATTCATAATAACTGTACAGCTGCACACAGTACCAGCCGGGCACTGATACTCCCGAAGGTATCAGAGGCATTTCAAATGCAGAGCATCAAAAAATGATAAACTACAACAAAATACTGTTTGCTGCTTTCATCCAAATTGCAGCAGACAGAGTGCATTAATCTATGATGAAAACCCACATGATAGAAATATCTCTGATCTTTGGTGCCACACTCCCACTTGGACCACTTCTCTTCAATCTCCCCTTTCAGTCCATTATCATAACAGGCAACAAATACAAATAATAACCAGGTAAAGGATACCTCTGCTTCAGAATGCCACTCAAGTACACACAAGTGTGCATGTACACTTACAAACTTACGTAATGCTCACACACAGATGCTACAATTCACAGACGCAAACACCAGCCCACTCACCAAACAGAACATTGGTACTGGATGACTCTTCAGAACAACAAAGACAATATTTATGTTACCTCAGTATGGCTGAGGTATGGTTAAGTTTAGCACCAACTACACTACTACACGGATCAGAGACATGGTGGACAACCAAGACCACATTGACGACAGTGCAAACATTCATCAACAGCTGCCTGAGGTGGATCCAGATACCATCAGCACCAATGGCACCAATGCCAGCATTACCAGATGGAACCCAAAAGGCCCAAAAAGGGACCTCGAGACTGAAATCAAGCAGAGCGGCCTGACATGGAAACAGCTATAAAGGAAAGCCCAAGACAGGAGACTCTTGACTTGGTGGTCAACAGCCTATGATCCATGAAAAGGAGCGATAAGCACAAGTAAGTAAGTAAGTTTAGGCTTCTAAGCCCTCTTGGGTAAGTTGAGGGAAAGATTGTGGTCATTGTTAATTACCGTATTTAAGAAATCCAACAGACTTTCAGACGGGATTTGAGCCCTGGCCACTAAGGTAAACGCATCAAACAGCCATTTCTCCATGCTATGTAAGCATGAGACTTTCTCTTGCATTGGCACTGAACATTGGCATTAGATGTAAATCGTGTATCGCACATCTAACCAATATGAATGTAATTCCACAGAAAACTCCACTTCTCAAGCACACAAGCATATTTATTTGAATAACTAGTACCTGGTTGTAGAGAGCACACACATGCAGTGCAGTGTTTCCAGATGCATTCTGGGCGCTCATGTCAGCTCCGTAGAACAGCAGGTGTTCCAGGTGTTGCACATGGCCATAGCGGCATGCCTGAAAGGACATAATCACACATTTACTTTATTTACAAAACAAATCCTAGTTTACTTACAAAGTCCAAAGGGAGCCATCATACATTGTCTATGAAAAAATATACATGAGCAGTATGGCACATTTTATAGTCATCTTTGTTGTATCGAGGTGTGACAAAGGCCCCACGCTGGACTTTAACCAGGAAAGTAAAAGGAATGTGCAACTTATCCAAATGAGTCAATAGCTGGCGCTTTTAATGTATTATTTTATTGTATTATATTTTAATATAGCCCAACGTACCTCTTTCAACATATAGTTAGAGCAGTGATGCAATAGCTTGAATACTCTCAAATATAAAAGGCAGCCCAAATACATGTTTCTACAGATGAGCTACACAGAAATTGTAACTAAAACATGAGCACCTCAGAAATGTTATAACTGTTGAATATTTTTCCTTTCTTTTCCCTTGGGCTAATTCTCCTCACACATGCTTTTAACAGTCTCTAAAAGCAAGAGAGAAACTTGTTTGTATCACCTGAGGCCAAATCTGTGAGTTAAAATTATTCTGACAAGATTTGTGCTTTTTTCTGCTTCTTCGTTTCACATAACTCGGAGCAATAGACTTTTCATCTAATCTCTATCCGTCTCCTCTCTCTTCTTTCCCTTCTACTCCGGGGTTTTGTCCTGTGTCATTGAGAGAAGCACACCAACTCTTCCCAGCAATCGTTCTCTCCCTCCTGTGTTCTGTCTCGCTAAGAGTGTGTGACAGCAGTGAGACAGCACACAAATGATGCTGGGATTGTTGGTGGTTATCAGACATTCAGCAGTGTATCCTATTGTACACGATATATACCTCTAGAATACTAATGCTGGAAAGGACATAGAAAAACGGGGAGATGAGAGGAAGGAGGTGAAATAAATAAAATGGGGAGAAAATGTGTAGGGCTGAGGGATGTTTTGGATTTATTGTACAGTATCTTGAATGCTTAAACACAAAAAACATGATCTGATACAGCATTGCGATACCATATATCCTTCCACTTTAAACCCTTACTGTATCTGCAAACTAAAAAGGAACACTTTTCAACAAACAAATGCTCCTCTGCATCGCTCCCACAGTAGTACCTGAACACACTTCAGCAGAATTGAGGACAGAAATGGTTTATAAGCCCAAAGAGAAGACATCACTGGGCGTCATATGCAAGAACATTTTCGTATTTTCTTTACAGAAATTCTCTGCTCCAAGTCGGTTTCACAAAACTATTTTAAGTGCACAAACCTTAAGTAAATTGCTTGTTTCAGACAGATGAATTTCACTTGTTGATGAGGATGTGCACATTCAGATAATTTTAGCATTGGCATCGTTAACACCCCTACAATCCTCGTATAAGGGTACCTGCTCCACTCTGTGTGGGCAAGTTTGATTCACAAAAAATGTCACACAAAAGGCAAAAAGAACATTCTCATACCGCAGAGCTTCAAGACCTGCTGTCAGATAAACCCACAACAAATGTAGCAGTGTTGGTAGTGGTATTAGAAGACCACTTTGTGGTTATATTATAGATAGTATAGCTGCCAATGATGTGTTATTATGGCAGCGGGATATTGTAGAGTTGGGTTTCGATACTCACCTCAAATTAGTCCTTATATTTATTTATTTGTATTTATATTTAAAAAAACATTGTGTGGTGTTATCTCCTGTGATTAAAATATTGATGTTACATTTTTTTTTCTAGAAAAGACTAAAGAAGGTTGATTCCCCTATTTTCTCACGAGTAAAATGTTGCCATTCAACATTTCGGGCAGCTGTGGATAGCAGCGCCGTCCTTCAATCAGAGGATCGGTGGTTTGATCCCCGGCTCCGCTAGTCGCATGTCGATGTGTCCTTGAGCAAGACACTTAACCCCAAAATTGCTCCCGTAGCTGTGCCTACGGTGTAGAAATGTGATAGAATCTGAATTGTAAGTCGCTTTGGATAAAAGCGTCTGCTAAATGGCTGTAATGTAATGTAATCTCCTCTGCACCTATTGATATTCAGTGTGAGCAACAGAGGTGATGAGTCCCATTTAAAGCACAAGAACCTTCAGACCGCCAGTGTCTGTCTGTCACTACAAGATAAAAAGACCTGACACAAACAAAAACAGCATGTAGGCACTAGCCTCCATTATGTTTACAGAGCAGAGCATGCCTTGAGGCGGTATGAGTGTAAAATGAACACATTATTTGTTTGCTCTTCGTAGGTCAAGGACCTATTTCTATGCTTAACACAGATGGACACCTCTATTTGCACTGCCAGCCACTGGTTTAGATACAGCTGTAGCAACATTAGAATGAGTAACTGTGTCCAAGTAACTCCTTATTTCTGGAGGCCTCTACTTCACGAAGTACAGAAACACAAACGTATAGCTCATGATATTTAAGTAGTCTTCAGTATTTGTGCTGGTGCACTGCATATGTCTGAGTAAATGAGCATTCAATATGTGTGGGTGTGTGTATAGTACATTTATAGGTGTTGGTGGTTGCGCAATGAACAGTACTGAATCAGTAACGGTTTTGTAGATTTAAAATTAATTTGAGCACTCAACCCACACACATTTACAAATGTTTGTATTTATATGTATCTGCAGTTGAAAGTGCAAATTGATTGAAAAGACTACCAAAGTGGTAAATGTCCAATCCCTTATATTGGACCAGCATATGACCCCCCCCCCCCCCCCCCCAAGGGATTCAACCACCACAAAATAAATTCTCAAACTGAGGGAAACACAAAAATCAATTCAATGAAACTCTGAAAACCAGACAAGACCTCTTACCCTGCACCTACATTTGTATTCTGCACACAACCCATCACTGTTCTGTGTGTGAGTGTGTGTTTGTGTGTGTGCGTTTATTACCTGGTGTATCTCCTGCCAGCCATTCTCATCCACACAGCCAACCTGTGCATGGTCATGCAGCAGCAGCTCACAGCAGTAGGGGTCTCCTCCTACCATCGAGCTGTGATAGAGAGGAGTCAACCCCCTACTGTCTTTATAGTCAGGCGATGCACCCAAGTCCAACAGCGTCTAGTGGGATACGACGAAGGTTAGGGGGGAATAATGCTTTAATTACTTCATACAGTCCTGAGTCACAATGTGACGGTCAATAAGCCCAGTAGCTCTATATCATATCTATATCTATATATATATATATATATATCTATATATAAATATATATATCTATATATATATATATATATCTATATCTATATATCTATATCT